GATGAGTGCTGCTGCAAATATAGCATCCACCACCATATGCATATAACCCTTTAGGATTCTTGGGACAATCCCTACTAATATGTCCAGCTTCTTTGCAAACAAAGCATGTAGCGAATTTTAATTAGCCAGATTTAGGTTTTTAGCAATCTTTGAGTGTATGTTTCTAAGATCCACAATTATAACAAATAACATCAGTAGTTGGTTGAACATTCTAAAATATGATTGAAATTAATACATCTCTACAATGTTAAGCAGTATGTCCAATTTTCTTGCATACTAGACAAACTTTATCTTTCTCTTTCATTTTTATTTACTTTTTTTCCTTTTAAATTTCTTCAACTACTTGTTACTTTTTAGTTAACTTCTTTTAAATTCTTCTTTCTAAATCTTTTTATTTCTTTTCCTCAATTACATTTGGATCTGCTATAAATTTACTTTGATACCTATTAATTTAACATTTTTTTTTAATTATGCTAACTCATGATACAATCTCTTTCTCTTAGTTTAATTATCAGGACCTTGGAGTTCAGCAATTCTAGATTCCAAATTTGAGATTTTCTCTTAATATTATTCTTCTGTCATATGCAAAATTCGAAGATTTGCCTCTTATTTAGGTTCTTTTACTATCTTTTTGTTTACACAAGATTGTTTGGTTTGCTTTTGAGAATTTTTGGTGATTTATTTTCTCATATAAAAATTAATAACCACATATTATTATCATTTATTTGGTACACGATATTCCTCACCCAAATGTTCTGGTGGTTGTAAAGGTATGTTCAAACTATATAATACACAAAGCATTCATACACATTAGATTAATCCAATTTCTATCCCTTTTCTAAGAAATACTCTCTAGTATATTTATACACAGCTGGTTCTGTTTTACATTAATAATTCTTAGAATAATCATCATAGAATTCTGGTTAACCATATTTTTTTAAGACTCTTTCTTCAAAAGAAGGTAATTTAGAACATCTTTCAATCTAATATAAATATATGAATTAATTACTTCTTATTAAATCCATTCTTTAAATTTCCTAAAATCACCATATCTAGTACAATTAACTCTGAATGGTGCTTTTTCTTCTTAATTCCAGAATTCATCATAAGTAGGCCATCTTTTCTTTCTGTAGATAGGCTTCAAATACTATTATTTATTATAAAATTATTCTGATTTATTGGGTCCCCAAAACTTTGTTGTTTGTTTTGCATCATACCTTTTAATATTAAATTAGATATGAATACAAACAAAATTTATCCAAATTTGAATCTTCAAAATCAAATTCTTTAGTGGCTAATTTATTTCTCCATGGGTCCATTCCCATACCAAATGCATGAATAAGTCCTTTTGGTGATAAATATATTTTGCACACCACAATTTCTGAATATTCATCTGGTTTATAATATGGATCATGAAAGGTTGTCCAAACATAATAATCATTCAATGATAAATCAAATCTATATTTAATTAACTCTTTTTATTTTACTTAGGACGATCATAAATAGCTACACGCTTTTACTTTGGTTAGATCACTTAAATTTCTTTTTCCTTTTCTGCCTTAACTAATTTGGTATATTTTAGATAAGTTTCAAAATTGTAATTAGTAGTATGAGTGAATCTTTCTTATTTAAGATTTTCATCTAATAATCCACTTTATTCAAGTTATTATTATTTTTCTTTGATTGCTAATTAGAGTGCTCTCTTCTTTTAATTTACATTTTTTGGAGGTACAGGTTTTATAAATCTGCTGAAGATTTAACTCATACAAAATCGAGGCAGATATAATTACATATTTTTAATATTTTAATATTTTTTTTAATTCTTATCATACTTCTAATGCATCAAAACTCTAATTTATCAACTACATCACTTTAATAAGGAATTGTAACTTTTAGAAGTGGTTCCATTTCCATTTATCTTTTAATATTAAATTATGCATTCTAATTCCCACACCATGATCTTCTACTAACACCATTATTGACATCCCATTACAACATCATCTTAGCTCTTCTAGATGCATCATCTAAATATTATTAATAAATATAATTACCTGAACCATCTAAAACTAATCCAAATCCACCATTAATGACTTCTCCCCAACCTACTCCACCACCATTATGTAATGCTACCCAAGTTGCTCCTCTAAATGAATCTCCAATTACATTTTGAACTGCCATATCTGCTGTGAATTATGATCCATCATAAATATCAGCTGTTTCTCTATATGGACTATCTGTTCCAGAAACATCATGATGATCTCTTGACAAAACTATAGGTCCTGAAATTTATCCCTATTTTACAGCTTCATTGAATCTTAATGCAATTTCAGTTCTTGCTTATGTATCTGCATATAATATTCTAGCTTATGATCCAATTACTAATTTATTTTCATCAGCCTTTCTAATCCAATCCAAATTATCATTTAATTAATCTGCTACTATCTTTGGTGATTTTGTGATCAAATCCATTAAAACTTATTCAGCTATTTTATCTGTTAATTATAAATCTTCAGATCTACCACTAGTACATATCCATCTAAAAGGTCCAAAACCAAGACTGAAAATATCTCCCATAATATCTTAGAAATAACTAGGATAACGAAATAATTATTCATCATTTTCTTAATTAACATTAGCACCAGCTCTTCTACTTTCCAATAAAAAACGATTTCCATAATCCCAAAAATGCATACCTTTTTATGTTAATTTATTAATTGCATCTACTTATCTGATAAGTGATTCATAAACCAATTTCTTAAATTATTCTGGATCTTTAACCATCATTTCATTTGCCTCCTCAAATGATAATTAAACAGGATAATATCCTCCATTAAATGGATTATGTAGAGATGTTTAATCAGATCCTAAATCCACTAAATTTATTTCTTCTTATGCCAATCTTTCCCATAATAATACAATATTTCCTAAAAATCCAATAGATTCTGCTCTTTTTTCTTATTTAGCCAATTTAATTTCTGTAATGACTTGTTCAACATCAGTTATCTTCTTCTTAACCCAACCTTATTTCAATCTTTTATCTAAAGCCTTTTCTGAAACTTCTGCAATTACTGAAATACATCCTAATATATCTCCAGCCTTAGGTTATGCTCCACTCATTCCACCCAATCCTGATGAAACAAACACTACACCATTTAATGAATCTGTCTTTAAATATTTCCTAGCTGCATTCAATAAAGTCAAAGTAGTTCCATGTACAATACCTTGACTTCCTATATAACAATAACTTCCTGCAGTCATTTATCCATACATTGTATTACCTAAAGCATAATGTTTTTCATAATGTGATTAAGTAGAATAATTAGGAATCATCATACCATTACTCAAAACAATTCTTGGAGCATCAGGATGACTAGGAAACAATCCTTATGGATGACCACTATTCATTACTAAAGTTTAATGTTCATTCATTTCACTTAAATATTTCATAGTTAAGTGATATTATGCCCAATTTTAAAACACACTACCATTACCACCATAAGTGATTAATTCATGTGGAAATTGTGCTACTTCATGATTGAGATTATTCATTATCATATGCATGATAACTTAAGCTTATTTACATTTGCATGGATATCTAAGTATTACCTAGATTCATACTTATCATATGGATAGGCTTTCATTTCATAATTTGGAATCAATCTATACATATATATGTGTCCATATGTTTATAATTCATATAAAAACTCTGGTGCTAATCTTTCATGTAGATCTGACTCATAGTATCTCAATGCATTTTTCAATGCCAATCTTTATTCCTACACTTTCATTTATGATTTACCTATTTGTTTAAGCAGAGATTCTTGCAAGGGGCATGAGGGATTGATTGATCTCTTACATAGCGATTCTTCTCAAAATCAACTTAAATCCCTTTCTTTACACTTTCCAAAAATGCGTAATCGATTTACATATTTTAATAATATTTATGATTTATTGCTATTTATATTCACTCTTTTATCATGTTACTACCACATTTAAAATAGTAATAAATTCTGTATTCTAAATTTCTAATATTAAATGAACATATACACTCTCTTAAATTTCTATTTTATACAATCTATATATACTTCACAAAAGTATTTAATTATTTAGAAAGATTTATATCCTAAATAATATTAATGTTTCTATTAGTCTGAATTCAATTTCTATTTTTACTTCAAATATTTAAACATCTCTTTACCAGGTCAATATTGTAATATTAAATGTAGTTTTCACTAATTTAATTAAATCTTGATATTTTACATAAACCAATACGATTTATCAACTATTATCTATTCCTATATTATCATAATCTTATTCTATACTTTCTATCTTTTCTATTTAAAGTGATGTATCTTTACTTTCTAACTAAAAAAGAATTTTGCATATGATTCTTTAAATAAGAAAAAAAGTATTGTTAAATGATTTTTATTATTCTTATGACATTGCCTGATATAATCTTCTTTATAACTGTAATCAATTTAAAAATTTTTAATTTTAGAATGAAAATATTCTTCTTTTTTTTTTATCATAATTTCAAAAATATAAATCATTAAATATATTATAGTTTCTTTATTTAATTGCTTAATAATTTATCTGACCTTAGTTTTATTTAAACACAACTATCAGCTTCAAACAAAATTTAATATTAATGGATTAAGTAATCAACATTTATAATTATATATTTATGAAAATTGGCTAAGACTTAAAATTAATATTTAAATTATCAAATGAAACATATGATTTACAATTTCTTTGAAACGATTTCATAACTAAAAAATACATTTAAAGATTTAAAAAATTGTTTAGGAATATTTTATATAGATTAAGATTTTGATTTTAATTAGTAATAAAAAAATCAAAAAATAAAATTAAATATCAATTAATAATATTATAGATATCAATTTAGAATGATTATTCTTAAAATATTTTATAAGATATATTTATAATTTTTTATAAATGCAATATATTGAGAATAAAATAAATATATGAAATATAAGATTTCAATTTTAATTTTAAGTTATCCTCATCATCATGGATTTAAACTCCTCAAATGTTAACTACAATTAATACTAAAAATTATACTTTTCCATCAGAATTCTAATCTACTTCTTAAATCATTTATTTCCAAACTTCTTCACTGATTCCAGAGTTTTGACCAAATGCTTACTTAATTTCATCTTTTGTAATAGCCCCACTCTTATCTTTATCTATAATTTTAAATGCTTAAAGCAATCTTTCTGTAGCTAATAATTTTTCTCTATTTATAGTAGCATAAACAAATTCTATAGATTAATTATATATTAATACCAGAATAATCTATTGAACCACTACCATCTGCATCTATTTTTTTCATAATTTCATCTACTTATGTTTCTGCATCTATGTCACTCATAACCCTTTTGTATCCATTTATTAATTCTTCTCTACTTAATCTCCCATCGTTATTTGTATCCAAAGCCTAAAATTACTTTAATAAGTCTTTTTTCTCTTCTTTAGTTGCTATAAAATTGACCATAAACATAAGTGCTGCTTCCTATAATTTTTTTTCAACCTAAATATTTAAAATTTCTTAATACTCTGAATGCTTTAATTCTTGATAAAGCTTCAGTAAGAGATGGTAGATCTTCTTCGCTTTTTTAACAATATGTTTGAATCCATGGATGATTCATAGCATCCTTTGCTGAAATTCTCTTTTTTGTATCTTTCTCAATCATCTTCATAACAAGATCTTTAGCCTCATTTGATATTTTCTTCCATTCCTGCTCTTTGAATCTGAATACTCCTTTTCTAACAGCTTCCATAATTTAATAATCATCATCACCATTAAATGGAGGAGCTTTAATAAATATATTAATATTACCTCCACATAACATTATATATAGAATAACACCACATGACCAAATATCACATTTTTCATTATACTTTCTATCAAGTACCTCAGGAGCTATATAATATGGTGTACCCACTCTTTGATCCATCTTTTTATCTGGATTAAACTTTTAACTAGTTCCAAAGTCAGCTATTTTGATAAGGGAATCAGTATTATTGGTTTCATAAAGTATGTTTTCAGGTTTCAAATCTCTATGAACAATATTTTTTTCATGACAATATGTTATAGCACCTAACACCTATTTCATTACTTCTGCAGCTTTTTTTTCTGAAAAGTTCTTTTCTTAAACTATTCGATCAAATAATTCACCTCCTTAACATAATTCTGTTACTATATAAAAATATTCAGAGTCTTAATAAAACTCATAAATTGAAATAATATTCAAATGATCCTAATCATATTAATTTTTTTACATACCAATTATTTTAATATATCAACTTCTCTTGTTAACATAAGACAATCTTCTTCTGTCATTAATTTCTTCCTAATCAATTTAATTGCTCTAACTTAATTTGTAACTTTGTGTATTCCTCTATAAACTTCTCCAAATGCCCCTTTAATTTAATTAATATTCTAAATACCTTTTCCAAGGCATGGTTAAATTAAACTGTAGTCAGCAGTGATTTTCCCTTTTTTCTCTGTAACAAATCCTTAATAAGCAAATTTAGTGTCCTCTATCTTAGTAACTTGATTAATTATAATCATTGTTTATACCTTTGTTTGCAGGTTCTTAAATACCATTAGATGAGCCACAACCCATTAATAGAAGAAATAAGTTATCTAAATTAAATATTAAATAAAATAGATATAATACTCTTATGTATAATCTATATGAATTGTTCTAATCTTTATTAAATCTAATTAAACAAAAACTCATAAAATTCTTAAATATATATTCATAAAACTTAAGATTCTTTGTCATATTTTAATGATATTAAATTTTGACACATGTTGAATTTTTAGAATTATCATAATTTTCAATATATATCAACATCCGAAATAATTTAATATATTTTAAAATCCTTTAAATTGGTGTTATATATTTAAATATTTTCATAATTAGAATGCTTTATTTTAATTTAATATTTATTATTAGAATTTCATAAGAGTAGTTTTTTAAAATTGCATTTGTATATTTTTATTATGATGCTTTAGAACTTTATCTTTATTAAAATCTATTTAGTATTATTAAAAAACCTAATTATATAAAGTATATTTAGTTTATAATCAAGAAATATAATTATAAATTTAGCTATTTTTAGATTTAATCTATTTAATAGTTTAAAATATATAAACAATAGACATTATTATTTTATAATTCAATATAATATTATATAAAACAAAGAATCTGTTTAATAAAATATATACTCAATATATAAGAATTAACCTTTTATATTTGAGATTTTATCAAATTTTTGATGATGAGTTTAAACAAACTATTACTCAAATAATTGGTAGAATGAGCATTAACAATAATTTTTTATTTTAAGTATAATTAGAATATAAATAAATATATGAATTAAACTCAAAAGTCTTTTGATGTTTCTAAAGGGGGCGAGAAACTATCAGATATTGAGTCTCTAAAAAGAAGAACATATAAAAAAATATTAATGTATTACTTATGAGAAATATTAGGATGTCTTCGATGAACAAAAACATTATGAAATATATTTAGAAAGCCTTTCAATTAGGTCCGAAATATTTGACTATTGAATGCCTTGTAGAAGAGGTAAAAACTACTCCACTTAATGAATTGGAACGTTATGGTGCTACAATTTTAGATAAAGATAGATTAAAAGAACTTTAAGAATTGTTAGGAAAAATAAAATAGATGATAGATTAAGATGTAAAATAATTGAGTAGTGATCAATTAGTGGTATTAGATATATGTTTAAGAATAGTAATTAATCAAATATTTTGTTTTATCTCCAGTTGAGAAAACATATATTCAAAAAATAGAAGCTGAATTAGCAGAAACTGTAAAGATTAGAAATAATATTTATATAGAAAAATTTAGATGAATAAATCAAAGCAGCTTAAACAAGATAAAAAGAACAATAAGATTAAAAAATTGAAGAATATAGACAAGAAAAAAATGGATAATAAATAATTAAATAAAACTTATAATCATAACAGCATCAAATATCAGTACATGAAAATAAATTAGAAAAAGCAAATTAAAAATTGAATGAAATAGTTGCTCATAATAAATAATTGAGAGAGAAAATTAATTAATTGAGAAAAGAAAAAAATATGGTTGAAGAGTATAAATTATATATAATTATAGAATATCAAAAAATTTAGAAAAAGAATTAGAGGATAAAAAGAAGAATGTAGAAGAAACAATTAAATCTGCAGGATAAGCATATTATTATAGAAATAAAGCAGAAGAAGAATTAACAAAATTATAAAAGAAGGCAGAAGCATAAAAAAAAGAATTTGAATTAGAATGTGAATCTTTAAATGAGAAAATATAACATGATAAGAAATTTAAAGCATTTATATAAAGCAAAAAGAAAGAATAAGAATATTTAGATAAATTAGAAAAATAAATTGCAGAAAATTAAGAAATTATTAGATAAAAATCAGCATCTAATGCTTAAATTGATAAAGAATATATGTTAAGTGCTTCAAAAGAATAAGAAATTAAGGATGCTTTTGAAAGAATTAAATAAGAAACAGGAATACATGATAAAAAAAAAGAAAGAGAAAGTAAATAGCTATTAACAGTTTTTATTGAATTGTATTAGAATAATTAAATTATGTCATAATTTGTTAAAGAATTATAAGAAACAGTTGAAGAATTAGAAAGATAAATTGAAGAAAAAAAAGAAGAAATATAAATGTATTCAACAAAAGGAGCTACTAATGATAATTAAAGAAGAGAATAAAAAATGGCATTATCAAATAAAATTTAATAAGAAGAGAAAAAGAAAGTTATACTCAAAGCATAATATGAAAAATCAATTGAAACAATAAATTTAATTAAAAAATATTTAGAAGAAGTATTTTAAGCTATTGATGTAGATGATGAAACAATAAAAAAATTAAGTATAAATCCATTATATATATATATAGAATCTGCTGCTATTACTGAAGAAAATATGGTACATTTCTTAGGAATATTGGAATAAAAAGGATTAGATGCAATATAAGAATATGCTAGATTGATTGCAGAATAGTTGAAATTAGAAAAAGGAGAAGTACATGGATTATCTTCTTAAGTTGATGATCTAAATAATATCATAGCATATGAAAATGCTAACATAATGAATTATTATTCATAAGCTTCATAATTTAGATAAGAGTGTCCAGATGATGTACTTTCATTTAATGAAGAAGAAAATGATATGAAATAAAGGTGGTTTCAAGAAGAAGAATTTAAAAAGTAAGCTATGGAGGTATATATAATCATATAATTAAGTCAATCTCAAAAAGATCTGGACCAAAAAAACCAATTAAACCAAAATTCAAAGAAAGAGAATAAAAACAATGAGATTTATTATACTCATCTATATTCAAATATATTTATTTTATATAATAATTTATAATATTATGAAATATCATATTAAATTTACTCATATCAGATATCTTTGATTTTATTTCAATTTCATTATTATCAGACTTCATCAATCAATTATAAAATTAAAAAATACACTTTATAAACAAAATACTTCATTCATTTAGGATAATAAAAAAAGTAAAATAAATTCATATGAATAGCATAATCTAGTTGAATTTGAATCCATAAAAAATATAACTACAATTAGAGATAGATTAAACTTTAATAGTTAATGAAATTCTCTAATTTATCTAAGAGAATTATATGTAATGCTTTAAGTTGTATTTAAAGCATCACTTCAAATATAGAAGAATGGAAATGTTATTCATATCTAAGATAGAGATATTTGAATAATAATGAAAGGATTGCAATATATTAGAATGAAAAATTGTATATTAATACAGAACCCTAATCTGAATTAGTTGATAATTCAATAGAATAGCAAAATGAATTTTCATTATTTTCAGATTTAAGCGAATAATAAGACTAATCTTCCATTTATCTATGTATAATGATAACAAATGGAAATTCAAGATAAGAACTTCAAGCATATTTTCATTAGGATTCATCTCTTGAAGAAATAGCTTAGTTTGTTTTAAAATATTGCCAATTAACTGAAAATGTGTATAAATTAAGATTATAATATAGGAATCCTCCTTTTGTTTCCATTAAAATATACAATTAAGCATATAATGATGTAATTAAAAGGAGTAAATCATTGTCCTAATTATCAATTAAAAATAATAGCATAATTGATGCAATAATAAGTTAATAAACTAATAAATCAAGATGAATGAAGAATTATAATATTATTCACATCTGTTTGAATTTCGATTAACTTTATTTTATTATTAATCAATCATTTTATTCATAATTATATCTAAATATTGTTTTAACAATAATAATCTATTGGTAATGAATTCTTTAATCTAAACATAGAATAAGGAGATATAAAATTGATGAGCTATATTTATTAGATCCTCAAGAAAGATTTTTATATAGATGAACTACTCATTTTTTACTAAAATATTTGTTATGTTTACTTGGAATCAATGCAATAAAGTTAAGACTGAAAATTATTCTTATATAAGTTGAAAAAGTAAACATGATTTCAAATAAAGATAATAGAATTTATAAATAAAATAGAGAAATTAAATTATAAGATAAATATCAATCATTAAAATTCTAAATATCTTTGATATTACAACATATATTTAAGAACATTTTATAGTAGCCTTCTGAATACATAAGAATATTTAGAAAAAAGAGAAAGGTGTTATTTTCCAATATATACAATGTACCTTTATAAAAATTAGAGAAATGCTTTAGCTAAATATTATTTATTGAGTATTAATACTCTTTATTATATTGGTTTGTAATTACTTTTGATTTAAGATTAATTTCTTTTATATAATGATAAATAATAATTATTATTAACTTATTAATTTATTAAAACTATTTAATAAATAAGAATGTTTCTTAATTTGATTGTTACATAAATCATCATTAAAATTTAATGATGGTAAAATGTTGTTATATCATAAATATTTAACATTATAATTTTTTCAGAATAAGAAATTCATATAAAAGTTTTTGCTGAATGATTATTTATTTATTAATAAAAATAAGATTATATTCTTATTATAGAAATCTTTTTTTAGTATTTATAAAAGTGAAATTAATACTAGACATTTTTTAAAATAATGAATTGGCGCATTTTTTTGTATTTAAATAGAGAATTTGTTTGCGGGAAATGATAAAATAATAATCATGTTCACAAATCTTAGATCTACAGACAACACAATTAGACAATAAGCAGAATAGGAATTATATGCTTAAGTTGCAGCAAATCCTATAGCAATCCTTGAATAGTTTTTAATAGCAATGTAAAACAAAGATGACACAGAATTTGTATCCATATTATTATCTAAAACTATTTTTGAAAATGAAGAGAATATTAGTAAATTAGAATGGAGTCATGTTGAAGCTGTTCTTAAATTTTGTGTTAGTGAATTGAAATAAGAAAATAAAATATCTCATCTTAAGAGAATGTGTGATTTGGCGGTAAAAGGATTACTCAAGTTCACAAAATATGATGAAATGATTATGTTACTTTTTGAAATAGGCAGAAGTGCTTAAACTTTAAATTAAAAGTTAGCAACAATGTACTATATAGAAATAATGTGTGAATTTGCTTTATGTGATGAATAATTAATTAAACACAGTTAATAATTGAATGAAATATTTTCAGCATTTTTGAATGATTAATCTCCATAAGTAAGAGCAGCAACTTGTTAGGGAATAAGTAGTTTCTTAGTTTCAATTGAAGAAGAATCATTATTGAATAGATTCAGTAATAATGCAGTAGTGTTATTATAATAATTTGCATAAGTTATGTAAGTTGATTAAGAAGCATCAGTACAAGCATTATAATCAATAAATGAATTATTAGAAAACCATCCTAAATTCATGAAAAATCTATATGGAGAATTATTGAACATTTATACTTAATTATTGGGATCATAGTCAACAGTATCATTGAAAAAGGCAGCACTTCATGGTCTATAAACATTATGTTAAATAGCCCCAGCATTTATAAGAAAGAGTGATTAATTTAAAACATAATCTAATTTAATGATAATGAAGATGTTAACAGAAGTAGATAGAAAAGATTGGGAAAATACTTTTGATGATAATTGTTTATAATTAAATGATTTATCAAGTGTTGCAGAAGATTGTTTAGGTAAAATGGTTAGAGATTTGGGAGTGAAATATTTGTTACCTATTTTTGTTCCACTTATTATGTAAGCATTAAGATCACCAGTAATTAATGAATAACATGCTGGTTTGATAGCTATGGCAACATTATCTGATAAAGCAGCAGAACATTTCTAGAATGAATTACCTAGCATTATGGAATTAATATTACCATTATCTTAATCATAAAATAAATTAATTATTTATGATTTATTAACATGTTTAGCATCACTTTGTTAAGAATTTACACCAAAAATTTAAATTAATTATGGATCATAAATTTTATAATTGATAGTTACATGTATGTAACAAAAGATTTCATAAAAAATTCAATATATTTCTATTGCATGTTTAGTTGATTTTACTAGAGAATTAGTAGAAGACAAGGAAGCAGCAAAGAATGTATTGACTCCAGTATCAACCTTTTTGATTGAATAATTATACTCAGTCATTCAAACAAATTTAACAGGTTCAATAGATTAATAATAATAATAAATATTAGAATAAGCACTTTCAGCATTCAGTGCTTTAGCTACAAGTTTATAAGAACATTTCACTTAATATTATGATTAAATGATGCCATATATGATGTAAATGATGTAGACAGTTACAGTTAATGAAGTAAAATCATTATTATTAGAATGTATTGGTTGTTTCTTAGTATCTATTAGTACAACAAGAAAAGAATAATGCAAAACTGATTCTAATTAATTAGTTACACATTTTATTTAATAATAAAATAAAATGGAATCAGATGATCCTGCTCATACATCAATATTCTTCTTCTATACCTAAGTAGCTACAGCATTAAGATGTGAATTCGGTTAATACTTAGATGCTATATTCCCATTAGTTGAAAGAGCTATGAGATTAGATGTTGGTTTTTCAATCAATTCATAGGCTGAAGGAAAGAATATTACTAAAGTCAAGTTAGATCTTAAATTCTTAGGAATGAAAAGCTTATCACTTAATACTAGTGCTCTTGAATAAAAAGTAGAAGGAGCTCATACTCTTGTTAATTTAGCTGAATAATGTGGTAAATCATTTTATCCATACATAACTAAAACAATAGTGTTAATGAAAGAATTCATTAATTATAAACACAGTTCATAAATCTAAAAATCTATGGCTAAGTGTTCAGAATATTTAATAGCTGCATGTACACTTGAAACAGATATGGCATAAGTACTTATTTAAGTTACTCCTATGCTCATTACTGAATTCACTGTGTTCCTAAATAGTAAATCTTATGATAGAGCTGCTGAAATTGCAGAAGTATTAGCTAATTGTTTGAATTAAGTTAAAGCACCTATTTTAGATTCTACTATTATTGATTCAATGTATTAGACTTGTAATAAGGCTCTTACTGCAATAGTAAAAACTAAAGAATCAATTACTTATGAAGATGAAGAATAATTTGAAGCTGATTGTGAAGAAATTGATTCATTATTTGATCACATTACCAATATTGCAACTGAATTAATATCTAATCATAAATGTGAATCTATTTAAACTATGATGCCAACTTATTACTCATTTTTAAATACTAAATCAACTAAATCATAAACAATTAATTCTATTGCATTTTTCAATATTGTTTTACCTCTTTGCAATGAATCAGTATTTTAATAAGCACAAAATGAAATCTTAAAATGTTATTCCTCTTTTTCTAAAACAGCTGATCTAGAAATGAAATAAAATTTACTTTTTGGTTATGGTAATATTGCAAAAAGACTTCCAACACTTGATACTACTTAAATTATTGAATTAGCTTAAACAATCATTGAATAACCAGATTGTAAGCATGTTGATAAAGTGGCATCATATGAAACTGCTTTAACAACCTTAGGTAAAGTAGCTATGTATTGCAATATTCCTTAAAAAGAATAACTTCTTAATAAATTCTTAGATTCCCTTCCACATGAATACTAAGATAGTCAAGAAACTCATTTAATGTTTATAAAAGAAGTAATATTATAATTTATTATAAATAGGTTTAAAATAACAATCCAACATTGATGTAATTTAAAGATATAGTTATCCAAACTTTGAATAGAATTAAAACTTAAGATTGCAATAATCCTGAAAATGAATTGTTATGTGATGAAGGAAGAAAATTGATTTCATAATTATTATGTTGAATTTTATAAATTATAAATTTAAGTATTTTTATTTTTCATTTTCATTTTAAAATAATTTTGAAGGATGGGAATGTATTATAAGTAGAAAAGATTTAAAGAAAAAATGATATCATAATAATAATAGATAATGATATTTATCAACGATTATTTCATAAATTTTTTAAATTCGTATAATTAAGTTAAAAAATTTGAAGATTAACAAGAAAAGGACACGATTAAAACTGTTTAGGAGAATATCAAATAATAAATAATGATTAAATTCATTACAATTTCTGAACATTCAAATCAAAATCATTTTCATCAGACGATCTAAATATCACTAAAAAATTTCCAATAACAATAGTATCATCTTATTGCACTTCTAATGATAATTAATTTTCTAAATCAATTATTTTTTCATATTTTAAAGAATAGCATTGCAAATCAATTCCTGTTTTATTTTTTACCTATATTTTGCTAAAATAGTCTTTAAGATATTATAATAATTCAATCCCGCTAGTTTATTTATTAATTAATAAATTGACTTCTTAATCTTCCACCTTTTTTTAACATCCTATTTGATTAAACTCATCTCTCCATTTTTAAGTAATTTATTACAATTACGAGGCATTCCTATAAATCTTAATATTCTCTTTCTTTTTTTCCAGAATATATTCACGTAATTTTTAAGTATTTACTAATGTGTTTTCTGAAAATAACTTTAAGATTGTTTCTTTTTAATTCTTCAAACAATTAATCATTAATTTTTCTATTTAATTTAAATCTTCTAAAATAGAAGTTTTAATATTTTGGAGTTTATCTTTTATTTCGTTCTTCATTTATTTTATCCGTTATAGAGTTTGATACTATTACAATTCATATTCTGTTGAGATAATTAATTAATCATTTGGGTAATATCCAAATTATTACTATATATTTAGATAACATTTTCTCGCCTCTGAGTAACATCTCCATTTATCATAGTTTTCTTATATCCTAAAATTTATAAATATTTTTACTTGTATTTATTCTTAATAGATGATAGTATATCTTGTATTTATGTATTTTTATTAATTTCCATCACTTCTAGGTTTCTTTAATCCACTTTGACATAAATTGATAATAGTTATTTTTAAAAAATATAATCTGATTTTATTAGTGAGATTTAATTAAGATTTTCTAGATTTGTAAATGTTAAAATATCATTAGGATAATTTCCAATTATTTCATCAAATTTTAAATAAAAATTTCTTTATTATGAATGGCAAACTAATTCATGAATATTATCATTTTTATTTAATTTTTTATGTTTTTAATTATAATGATTAATAAGTTCATCAAAGATTTCTTGAATTTTAGAATTTTAGTCTAATTCTACAGCAAATGTAGAGGATTAAAAATACACAATAATATGAATGATAATATTATTCGTGTTATCTTCTAAATTAGAATCCTCAATTTTTTGATTCATATTGTGATGAATGCTATCATCTAAAGGTTTTATGATTGATTAAGTTTATATAATATTTTCGCTTTCTGAGCTCTCTTATTTTTCTTAGCTTTCAGAACTTTCATCAAAATAAAATATTAAAGTATCCTCATGGTAATTTCCCAACTGTTAATAAGGCTACAAAAAGCATTACCTTTATTATGAATAACACCTCCATCCATTTTTTTTAAACCTTTTTAACATAAAACTTTTTAACTAAAAAAAAAATATTACTTTGGATCGTATTCTTCGAATAAATACTCTTTTAGATCTTCAATAGTTATTTCAGTTTCAAATGCTACTGATAAGTGTTGCATAGTTGGAATAATTCTAATATTGACCATCATTAATTTATTAATTAATAGATTATAATAAAAATATTAAAAATAAGAGATATTTATTAATATATAGATTGGTAATAATCATATTAAAGATTTTGTATTATAACATTGAAATATTATTTATCATTAATATCTTTTCTCAATATATAGAGAAGTAGAATTTTTTTTAACAAATATCAAGTATTATGTTTTTTACTTTTATATATAAATAATTTAATGTTTATTAATATTAAATATTATTTGTATATATATTTAGTTAATAAAATAAATCATTATATCTATGATTATTATTGATTATGTTATTCATCTTCTAAAATTTAATGTCCATAAATGCTAAGAAATCTCTATTTCCATTCTTTAGCTATCATATTTTATAATTTAGGATCAACAATTCCAACTAAAACTTTATAAGGAACATCTGGAATTATATTAAATGTTGGAGTCAATTCATGTACAATTTTATCTACAAAAACATCTGCTCTTTTTTTTATATATATATCTTCCTTAATATCTTCCTCTGTCTTTTCTAAATCACTCATATCATATGATTAATATAATTATTTCAAGTTTTCTGGTATTTCAACCTTTCCACTTTTTGTGACTTCTTTTAATCCAATTTTCTAAGTATATAATTAATCATAAAATGAGGGATGTTCATCTGCTGGTATTATCTAAAATTAAAACATATTATACTTTACAGCTATTCTATTAACAATAATGCATTGCATATATATTTTCTAATCCTGCATAAAAATCAAGTTCTTTCATCTTTGTCACTTCTTCAGGATTTGTTTTTAGATAATAATCTACTTTCTTCATAATTTCCTAAAGATGTGGATTCCTAAGTATAGGTCTATATTCATCTTCTAATTGTTTTTCTGATATTTATAATGCAACTAATTTTGGTTTAGCAACATCCAACACTTCTTTTAATAATGCTAAGTCTTCTCCTGTCCTCTTATATCCCTGTAAATAAAAGAATGTCATTGTACTATAAAGCACTCTCATATTATCTTTATTAAGAATAGCATTTCTTCTTTAAATTAAACTTTCAGTATTAGATCCTTGACTTATTCTTGGTTTAACAATTGAATATATAGCCAAAAGAGCTGTAGATCCTAATCCAAACATTATAGCTGCTTTTTCTGCCTTTGTCATTAACTAATATTAAATTTTAATTATGTCAATTATTTAATTCTTCAACTGTTTTTGTATATATTAATAAATATATATATATTAATCAATAAATATTGGAAAAATCATTTATATTTATTGCAAGCCCCTTACATACTCTTAAACCAATCTATAGGTCCACTAGCACTTGCTCTATTTACTATCATTTTTGGAATATATCCTTTAATATCATTATTCGAACAAATTGAGATTTTCACATTTTTTTATTCAAAAACCTCAAAAATCATTGAAGATATTTCAGTATGTGCTCTAATTCTATTATTTTTAATTGGATGTTAAGGATAATCAATAGAATAAAATAGTAAAGTGATTTAACCTTATTATGGGAAATCGTATCTCAAAATTCTTCTCTAAACCCATTCTCTAGGAGTAACTAGACTAATTGGAGGTTGTACATAATAAGCTACAATATCTATATCTTCAGATTCTGTTTTAATAATCTAGAAATCTCTTAGTAATTTATCCCTATTAAATTAATAATTAATATTACCATTCTCTTCTTAATTAAATATTATAAACTACTTTTAATGCCAATTCAAGAGTAGTCTATCAAAATTAAATAAATTATTTACATCTTTAATAATTCCAAATCCTTTAATAAATACATTATCAGAGCCTTCTTTTAATGTTTTATAAATTTGAGCATCCTTATTATTTATTGCTAAATCCCATTTATCAGTAGATTCATGTATCAATTTTAAAAATAATTCAAATTTTTCAATTGTTTTTTGGCAATAATGTTTAGGATATATAGGTAATGAATTATCTTTATCTAAATTGTTGATTATATCATCATATGATTAAAATGGAGTTGAATTTAAATTGAATTTCTGATCAATTTTTGAGAAACATATTTTATTAGGATGAGAATGTAATTTTAATTTAATTTATTAAGGTTTTGCCATTATTATTTATTCTAATTCTACTTATGATTCATTATTTTAAATAATCATATCCTATTATTATTCTTCAATTTATATTTATTCTATATTTATTTTAATTTCATCTTCTTATTATATATTTTAAATAGTATTTTGTTTCTACATATAACATTATATATCTTAACCAACATTTTCTAAATTTCTAAAATTTTATTATTAAACATATAATTTTAAATTAGTAGTATTTACTCTTAAATTTAATTAAGCATTTAACATTTTTATATAATAGATACTCATTTATGGATCAGGGAATTACTTAGATAATTGAACAATCTCAATAGAATAAATGAACTCTTTAGCTTTTTTAATTATTTAAGGTAATTTATGATCAGGCATTTAATTTGAAAATAAAGTAACAACTGGTTTTATAAGATTATCAATGCCTTTTAATACAGAGATTTCTAATTAATTTCTATAATGAGTTTATTGATTTACTAGTTTTGTCTCTTCTTGATTGAGATAAATATTTTAATCCTATAAATTAAAATACTTTAAAATCTTTAATTATTCTTCTAATAATAATAAACTTAATTCTATGGAACATAAATACAAATCTTGATTTAGGAATACAAAAGCTTTTTTTATTAATTTCTAAAGTTGAGTTTAATTGATAATTGAGAAATATCTATAATGTAGTGCTACTTTTATTTCTGTTAAGATTTTATCAGTTACAAATCTTTATAGATTTAGATTATAATTATATTTCTTTTATTATTATTATGCCCATTTTAAAATAGTTCTTATTCTAATATCATATATATCAATCTCCTTAATATCCTATTTATTTTATAAAGTCTTTTTAATTCTCTTCCCTACTTAATGACCTCCAAACACTCCTAAAACTCCTCCTCCAATTCCACCTACTAAAGCAAATCCAAAAATAAAAAATCCTATTGTTCCAAATAAGATCATTCCAATAACTGTCCTATAATATTATATATTTAAATTTTACCCTAAATTTCTTTGATCAAACTCATCACATTTTGCAAGTGCATCATCAAATTCTTTCATTTGCATTGGAGTTAGATAATTTTAAGATAAATATAAATGTTTTGACATTAATAGTTAAATGAATTTAGTTGGAGTAGTAGCTAATGCACTAAATTCAATTCCCAACAGAATATTTAAAGTTGGATGTAATATTCCAAATTCATAAAACTAACTACAATAATTCCACATCGTTAGAAATGTTTTTATCTTAAGCATCTATTGAACTTATTTTAAGTAATTTTGAAGATTTTGCATAATATATATTGTTTTTTAAATAAATATAGGATATGTCTTAATAATATTATGAATAAATAATATAAAATATTAATATTATGTAATAATAAAACAAAATTTAATGATTTTTTAATCATTTATACTCAAATATCAACTATTAAATATAATTGTATTTAGTATTACACTAAAGAATTTGAAATAAAAATTCAGAATCTAAGTATAATTACTAACTATCATATAAATATAATTTGTAATTTAAATTATTATTATTATACCAACATAAGACTTGACTTCTAATTCTGTATATTAAGTATAAGTTATTTAATAATTTCCAGTTAGTACATAGAGATATCAATCAAGATGTTTTTGATTTAATATATTATGTTCAATAAGAAATATTAAGTTCTGAATTGTTACCAAATATCAATGTTTCTATAATACAGGATCATTATAAGGATAATTGTAATGAATCTAAGAATTAAAGAAAAATGTATCTAAAAATAATAAATAAAGAGATACTCAATATTTAACATTACATAAAATTGAATTAGGGAAGATCTAATATTTTATAAATAATATTTAAGAAAAAGAATGTAGAAATTATCTTAAATGAATGCATTCTATTATTATTATAATATTGAAGAATATTAAATTAGATTAAAAGAGAAAGAATTCTTAAAAGCATTAGTTGAAAAGTAAGCAGATTATTTATTCACAAATTTTTTATAATATTATTAGAAAACATAGAGAAACTTTGGAATTAGATTAGATAATTAAAATTAATCACAATAAAGTAAATAATAAGATAAAATTAGTAAAATCAAGTTCGATGTTATTTAGATGTATAAAAGATATAAATAATATATAGTAATTTATATAAATACATCAAGAACTATACATATTGGGTCTATGTATTTAATTATGAATAATATTTAAAAATGCATTGAGTGAAAATGATAGTGTCTTATGATTTAAAGTAGTTTATTATATATTATTATTATTAGATTCATGTTACTAATTAAGAGTGTGACATTGATTTGAAATAATAATATTATTTTTTCATCAAATCTTTATGAATATTATCAACCAATTATTGGCAGGAGCTAATTGTATGACTATTCATAACCAGTTTAGTGTTTAGACTCAATTTCCAGATGTCCAACAATAAGAATGCCATTCCATAACCAAAAGAAAAAGAAGAATAACTTAATTTGCTTTAAAATACTATTTTCTCTAATTTAGTACATATGCTTCTAATATCATAAGCTTATGGCATCATAAATGAAAAATGTCCAGTAATCATAAACATAATAAGCCTAAGTAGTACAAAAATCGAAAAAGATGTATCTATTTGTAAATATCGTTTTAGAAGTAAACGTAACAATAATTGTGGACACCCTGAAAAAGAACATTATGCTAAGGGTATGTGTAATAATTGTTATCACAAATATGGTAGAACAAAGAAACCATGGATCTGTGGACACGATAAATTATATGCTTGTAATATTTATTTATTTAATAACTATTAGAAGGATTATGTTAGAATTGTTATATTAATAAATACAATCAAAAGAGAAGAGAATTAGGTGACAATGAAGTTCTTAAATAAGAAGATCCAAATCAATAGTAATTAGAATAATAATAGTCATGAA